GGATTGATTAATATTCAAGTATTTGTGGTATTATATCCATTTTATAGAAGAGGAAACTGAGACTTGGCCAAGTTAAATAACTTGTCCCAGATCACACAGCTAATAACTGGTACAGCCAGGATTCAAACCAGGCATGCAATCTTACCTCCATATCTTCATTATTAATCCTCCTCAGAGTCTTTCTTTCACTTTTAAAAAGGTTTCAATCTAGGGGATCACTGATATTTTTTTCCTTTTTGGTATTTCATTCTAAGAGCAGAGAAAACCAGAAAATGAGTATCTGTCCAATCTGGAGCCATGCTTTTATGGATAGCACTAGGACGCTCTAGTTCACCTTCCAAGCCACGGTGGCATGGGATTCCCTCGGTTACACCCTTGCCAGGTGATCATTCTGCCTCCCTTTGCCATTAGTGGAAAGTTTATTACGTCCCTCGTCAGTCTCTTACCTTGGTGCTGTTTGTAGGAGTCCTTCCTCATATGGAGCTGAAATTGTCTAACAGAAAGGAGATCAACATTTACCTGTGTTTGTCTCATCTGATCTCCCCTGTCCTTCCCTCCCCTTCCTCTCTCCTTCCCAATAAATGTTTTATTTTAGAATAGTTTTAGATGTATAGAAAAGTTGCCAAGATAATACAGAGATTTTTCTATATACCCCCTCAGTGTATTGTTAACATCTTACATTACTGTGGTACATTTGTCAAAACTAAGAAACCAACATTGGTCCATTGTGATTAAGTATAAATTCCAGACTTTATTCTGATTTCACTAGTTTTCCTCTAATGTCCTTTCTCTGTTCCACGATCCCAAATTACATTTAGTCATTCTGTTTCCTTAGTCTCATCTGGTGTATGATAGTTTTTTAGCCTTGTTTTTCATGACCTTGACAGTTTTGAAGAGTATTAGCTAGGCATTTTGTAGAATTTTTCTCAGGATTTATCTGATGCTTTGTCATGCGGTTTTGGGTTTGGGAGAATACAAAAATGAATGTCATTCTCATCACATCACGGTAGGGACACAATATCAATATGACTTATCACTGGTAATATTAACCTTGATCTTCTGGCTAAGGTCAAGTTACTCATCCCTCCCTTTTTTATACATGATTTTTTGAGAAGCAAGTCATGTACAGCCCACACTCATGAAGTGGGGATATTGCACTCTACCTCCAGGTGGGGGGTATTTGCATTAGCTATTGGGACTTTTCTGTAAGGAAGATTTTTCTCTTCTCCTACATTTATTAATTAATGCACTCATTTATATCAGTATGGCGTGATGCACATTTATTCTATACTTTGGATTATAATCTATTACAACTTAATTTTCTTGCTCAAATTGTTTCAGCTTTGGCCACTGGGAGGTCTTCCAGTTATCTCCTGTGTCCTTTTGACTTGCCACCATTCTTTTGTGTTTTTTTTTTTTCTTTTTTTTTTTTCAGGACTTCCTTTACTTTTAGGCACTGCAAGATCTCCCAGGTTCCTCTTGTATTTTCCCTGACTTATCCCTAGAATTAGCCAGTTCTCCAAGGATCCATGTTTCCTTTTATTTGAGAACTAGAGGCCTGGTGCATGGATTCGTGCACCAGTGGGATCCCTCTACCTGACCTGTGGGGACTGGGCCGAAACCGGCTCTCTGACATCCTCCAAGGGGTCCCAGATTGCGAGAGGGCACAGGCCAGGCTGAGGGACCCCACTGGTGCACAATTGGGGCTGGGGAGGGACCATAGGAGGGCTCCAGGGCGTGTCCGGCCCATCTAGCCCAGTCCCAATTAGCTGGACCCCAGCAGCAAGCTAATCTACTGGTTGGAGCATCTGCCTCTGGTGGTCAGTGCACGTCATAGCCATTGGTCGACCAGTCGAACGAATGGTTGGACACTTAGCATATCAGGCTTTTAGTATATAGGATATTAGAAACTTAGATCTGACCACTGGGTGTGCTCATTGCTACTGGGGTGTCACTGCTTCTAGAACCTGCTAGTGGACAGAGTTAGGAAATGCGTTATGTATAGCAGTCCATGTTGCACACATGTCTGTATTTCTGTATCTACATTTGCTTCCATAGTAAAGCTTTTTTTTTTTTTTTTTTTTTTTTTTGAGCACTTCTATTTTGCTGTGTTACCTAAGTGAGAACATGATTTGCTGTCTTCTATGGGGGGAAGAAAGTGAAAATGGAGAACTTGACAAAAATAATTTAAGAGCTCAGCCATCTTCTAAGTATATCATGTCCATTTAGAAATAAAGAGATTATAAGAGGCTAAGGAACTAGATAGAGGAACAGTCAGGATTGGATTCAGGCTGATTGAGATGGAGCCTCCTTACTTCCGATGCATCGCATGCCTCTTTCTGACTGATCAGTACTTTTGGCTTTGTATTCAACTCCATAATTAACTTCTTGGAATGCAGTGAGCAGATGAGAATGAAATTTTAGGAATTGGTGTGCTCAGGTATTACCTAGCCAACGGAAGTCTGCTGGAGTGACACTACTAAGGGATTTTGCTCTCTAGCAAAACATATCTTAGATTTACAACTTGGGAGTGATGCTTTGATGGACAGATGTTGGTGAGTGAGTCTTTTCAAATGATTATGATGATTGTCCTACTGTTTTTCCTTTTAGAACTATCTCTTAAAAAATCCTTTTGTTCTGGGAGAGATTCATAGGCCTTCTGTAGCAAAGATACTTGTTGTATACACTTGCTTTGAACCGGTTTGGCTCAGTGGATAGAGCATCGGCCTGCTGACTCAAGGGTCCCAGGTTCGATTCTGGTCAAGGGCATGTACCTTTGTTGCGGGCACATCCCCAGTGGGGAGTGTGCAGGAGGCAGCTGATCGATGTTTCTCTCTCATCCATGTTTCTAACTCTCTCTCCCTCTCCCTTTCTGTCTGTAAAAAATCAATAAAATATATTTTAAAAAATAGAAATGGGATATAAAACAATGAAGGAATCTGCTTAATGTCATCCAAGGAGTTGGAGATAGAGTAAGATGTAAGAAAAAAAAAAAAGAAAGGAAGGAAGAAAGAAAATACCACAAACCCCACAGCCCTTCTTTTAACAGGCCAACAACACAGCTCCTTTCTTTTAAATTGTGTTTGGCAACTTGTAAAGCAAAGAAAGAATACTTGAAGGTTCCTCTCAAGAGAATCCTGAAGCTATAGAACAATTCTAGGATGCCTTCAAAACTTTCAGTGTTTCCTTTGAGAAGTGGGTGTGTTTATACTTGATGAATCCTGTCTTGTCACCATGTAACAGTAAAGTCTCTGTTCTGTTCTTTACAGTTGTACTTTATTCATTCCAAAGGCTTACCATTTTATTTTGTGTGATACATTGTGAACATCCAAGATTTTTAGTGGAAATAAATGGCAACAGCTGTTTTTTGTGTATCAAATAATATAATTGTGAATCATAACCTTGACATGATACTAGTATATCCAAATTTTTTCCAGGCGTAGAAGTAATTTGACAAGAAAAGCTTGTTTTGGGTGGTCATCCCAATACAGAGTCATATTCTGCTTCTTGCTGCCAACTTCATTTAGAAGGAGAGTTTCCTAGATCTTTCTTTATTCTAATACTCCCATATTCACATGGATTTTCCTCTTTAAAATAGTGCATGTTCACCTATATAAACCAACACCCTGGAGTCCCATCTTCCTTTCCTGCTTTATTATTCTCTATTTTACCATCATCTAATATATTTTATATTTTACTTCTTTAGCTTTTTAATTGTCTATTTCCCCCAACTAGACTGTAAGCTCTATGAGAGCAAGGGATTTGTTTTGTTCACTGCTGTATCCGCAGACCTAGAATAGTACCTGATATAGAGTAGATGCTTAATGAATACTTCTGAATGAATAATGTGAACGTTGCAAGTTGTGATCATTTGTCCCCTGGTTTTAATTTAAGTACAAATAGTTAAGTTTTATTTTATAGAGTTATTTTATATTATAGATGAAATTAAATCACACTATTTAAAATGGGATTTATCTATTCACCCCAAATCTCAGAATCTGTACTACAAATATGCATAGTGCTTTGGAAGTTATGCAGTTTACTGCAGTAATGCAATACTATTTTCACATGCGAGGAATTTTGAAATTCTCTTCTAACTACCACTCAAGAAACTGGTGGAAGAGCTAAAAGCAAGAATGTTTTCAAGGTATTAGGTGAATTACCTTCATACTAATCCAAAAATATCTTGAACCCCAAGTGACATTACCCAGTTTGATCCCTTATTCTATTCACCAGAATTAGGAGAAAATGGATTCTCATTATTATATTAAAAAAAACAACAACACCTATTCAGGCTGATATTTACCAATATAGAGGATATTAAAAAGAATATGCTGCAAAAGCTGAGGTCATTCTTCTGAAGGAATGTCAGCACTCATTTGGATATATAGAAACTGACATGTTTTTATTTGTAATCATTTACTTTACAAATATATTAATTTTACTTTAAATTTCTAGTGTCTGCAGTACTTGTATTTTTAATTTTGAAACTAGTAGACTCTGTTTAAGCAATATGTAAGATAATATAAAAGGGTCTACAACTTGACTACCTGATTTATAAAATAGATCTTTTGCCCTAGCCAGTTTTGCTCAGTGGATAGATCATTGGCCTGCAGACTGAAACGTCCCAGGTTCTATTCCGGTCAAGGGCACATACCGCCTCGGTTGCAGGCTCGATCCCTGTGGGTGGGAGGCAACCAGTTTATGTTGCTCTCTCACACTTGTTTCTCTCTCTGTGTCTCTTCCCCTCCCTTCCACTCTCTCTAAAAATCAATGGAAAAATAACCTTGGGTGAGGATTAACAAAAAAACACACTAGACTTTCAAAACAACAACTCTAAAGTCAGACTTCATACAGTATTCTCTCCAGGACGAGACAAACAAATAAGAAGCAATCTAGACTGTGAACATCTAAGAGTTGTTTGCACCCTATGTGATGTAGTGCATAAGTTACATCTTTGTACAAACGATGTATTTTCACATTACCACCTTTTATTTCAGAGCATCGGGGAGTCGATGATGCCTGTTGTGTTAAATCAGCTGCTGCCCATGATTAAGCCTTCGAATCAAAGGACCAACGATGACTACAGCCCCGAAGAGCTGTTGGTCCTCTTCATATACATTTATTCTGTCACTGGAGAGTTCACAGAGGACAAAGACCTGGCTGAAACAGAAGAAAAAGTGAAGAAAGCACTGGCTCAAGTCTTATGTGAGGAGTCTGAGTTGTCGCCTTTGCTGCAAAAAATCACAGGTGAGTGCTTAACAAAGATATAAGACATAAACATCAGTGATACAGAAAACAGGTTTAAAAATAAAAGCCATTTCAGCCCTGGCTGGTGTGGCTCAGTTGGTTGGAGCGTCATCCCGTATACCAAGAAGTGGCAGGTTCAATTCCAGGTCAGGGCATATACCCAGGTTGCAGGGGAGGCAACCGATCAATGTTTCTCTCTCACATCGATGTCTCTCTCTCTCTTTCTCCCTTCCTCTCTCTAAAATCAATAATAAAATAAAAATAATAACAGCCATTTCAGAAAGAGGATGTAGCCATGTTCTTTGGAATGGTTTGGAATTTCATAAGGTCTGATGGATGCTAGCTAGACTTTAGGATCAGAGGTTCGCACTGCAATATATTTTTTTCCAGTTGTGGGAGTGAAATGGCTTTTAGTGGCTCCTAAGATATTACACAATGTTATAGGATTAAAAAGTTTCCATATTCCAGAGTAGTTTCCTATTTTGATTTCTCATATTTCATTTTGAATCTGAATTAATTAATTAATACCCAAACATCCTAGTAAAGTAGACTGTGTTAATTGGGGAGAAATGTAAAATTAAATATCATAAAATCTAACTTTTCACTGCTGGTAAGACCTGTGATATCACTCAGCGAGACATTCATTTGTTTTATTCTATATCAAACTCAATATTTTTTATTTTCTGTAAATATAATTTACAGAAATTAGTATGGACTGAGTCTGGTTCTGTTTGAAAGTTAGATGTTATTAAAACTTACCCATAAAACTTAAATGCTTTAAAAACATACCGAGTTTCCATTCACTAATGGGTGTGTGTATAGGTGTGTGTAGACCTCTCCGTTCAGGAAGGCTCCGCTGAGGCAGCTGGTGTAACTTCCAGCTTTTCCTCCTGTCCCCTGTTGCGCCTCCCTGGGGTGCATCCAGATTGCTCCCGCGCATGTGTGTTCTCCTTCGTGCCCACCGCTGACCTTTCCTCTGTGTGGTTATGGAAAATGAGACCCTGATGAGATGGAAACCGAATCAAGTTTCCACAGAAATGAGCTTAGTGTAGAACCTGTTTGCCAACTTAAAATCTACTTAAGGAAAACGTGTGGAATTTGTTCCCATTTCATTTAGGTACAGCACTAGACGTGATTACTTGTGTTTGGCTGTAGACAAGTCTTGAAGCTTTAATATGGTTTATACAGTGCTAAGAACAGTGATTTGATTAAAAGTAAAATTGAATGATATGAGAATTTAATTGGAGGTTATTCTTGAAATGTGTAATTTCAGAAACAGACAACAAAAATGGTGTGTTTTAGCTGAGGCTGTTTGGATAGCTTTTCTGTAGCATTAGTAGTTCCTTTATTATTTTGGGAATTGAAGTCATGCTGTACAAGTATTCATTTAATATTTGCTCGAGGTGTTTATTGACTTAGCATTTCATTCTTTATTAGTTTCTATATTTATGATTGCTCAGGATATTGCCTTTTCTTGCTTTTAACTGTGATTTCACATTTTAACAAAAACACTTCTGTACATTCATGTTTGCATTAGGAAAATTTGTATGTGTAGTAGTTGAAGAATTAAAAATTTGTGGAATTTTAGTATGTTTAAAATTTCTAGGGATACCGTATTTTGTAATACTGAGTATACATTTCTCCCTGGATTAACTTTGCATGTACAGCTTAAACTGGATGAATAAGATATGGTACTTAAATTTGACTCAAATGAACTTACCAGTGGAACACACATGCACTAATCAACCTCTGTGCACCCAAAAGGACTTGACTTCTGAAGATAGACTTTGACTTTGCCGGTTAGACATCCCCTCGTTAAATAGGTTGTAAAGTGGTGTCCTGAGAAGTAGGGTTCATGTGTGCAGCTAGCTGCTGAGGAGGATGTGTAATCTGCATCCTGTGATAACAGGTTATAGGGTGGTGTTGAGGCTGTTGTGACTCAGTCTTGTGGAATAGGATGGGATACCCCACTTTGTACTGGAAGAATCGAATTGCTTTTAAATGTGCTTATTGTGGAACGAGGTTAGCCTGGCTTTTTACCATGAACTTGCCCACAGAGTTGTGCTTATGTTATTCCAACTTAGTTTAGGCTTATTTGTTACTGGGTGGCAGAATTCATTTTATGCCTTGTGCACATTTTGTGGTTGATGATGAGTTGGTTAAAAAGTATTATTGAAAATAAGCAATGAGTCAATATAAGAATTCTGCTTTTTATAAAATGCTATAATTTTACTGCTCTTAACTGTTGATAGGATCAAGAGAGCAACACTGTTTCTGTGCTTAAAAACCTAAGCATGTTATCATCACCCAGTTGCTGAGTGATAGGGCCAGGATTTGAATCCTGGTGTTCGGGATCTAGAACCCACGTCTTAAAACACAAAATTCTAAACCTGCTGCGACCTCACTTCCATAACCCCTGCATTTATTATATTCTCTAACTTAGACTTGCTTACACTTATTGTGTTAAGCCATCCATGCTCAACCATTCCTCCATGTTCTTGTTTTCTGAACAGTGAATTAACATTTGGTTAATATTTTAGATATTGTTTGTGCACGTGAATCTGTCTATAATAGCTACTTATAGACGTTTCTGTATACCTTCCTATTTTTATGCATGTATCCTCTTTGTTTCTGCATTGCTATAAAGAAATTAAATTATCATTTCTAGTCATTGAAATCTATTGGTTGTCTAGCTTTACTAAAACAGGATTAAGCAAACTTAATTTTTTTATTTCAGTAATATCTCTTGACAATACTTTGTATGTAAAATTCATATTTCCTTTTATATGTTAAGTATGTAATTTAATTTTGACAATTTATTTTATTTTTCCCTATTCTTCCCTTTATGGAAAGGACAATGAGAAATTGTAACTGGCAAATCAAAACAAAACTTCAGCATGGTCAATGGCAACCTACTACTTTCTTTTTAATAGATACTTTTTGGGAGAGTGGTAGGCAAAAACTCTCTTTTTCTACTCACACAAAATAACAAGGGCTGGCTCTCTGGGTGTCAGTGATGGGAGCTGAAGAAAGAAAATTGGTGTGGCCTAAATAGGTCCTTTAATGTTGTCCTTTCTCAGCCTTGCTAACTTCAAAGAGGGTATCATATCAGTTTCCATATACATTAGTGTTTGCATGGCAGTCACAAGAGAAAACAAAGGAAAACCATTTGAACTCTCTGCAGAGAATGAACTCAAAATGCGAATTTTAAAGATCTGTACAGACTTGAAATGGCGTCCTACAGGAAAGCATAGGGCTCAGAGGCAGAAATTCTTGTGTTAGGATCCTCTGCCATTTCCTAGCAGTGTGTATTATGGGACAAATCATCCATCTTTGATAATAAACATGAGTGCCCTATTGACCACTCATGATTTTGTCAAGAATAAGGCAGTGTTATGTGTGTGAGCTAATTTTTGATCCATGTATTATTGTTAATAGCTCATTTCCCCCCCCCCTTGATATTATTATTTTGATAGCATCTAGTTGTCATATAGGGTAGTGCATTGTGATGCACACAGGCAGTGGGAATGTTTGCATAGTATACTGAGGTAAATAGGCAGGACTCTTGTGGACAGAGGCAACTAGCCCTGGGGGTTCTGGCCATTCCAGGCTTTACCCAGTTGACCTGTGAACTGAAGTGAAACAACAGCTTGGCACACCTGGAACCTATTAGGGGCAAATCAGTGTGCTAAGATTGGTTGGTCAGAAGGCTCTGGAATCAGAAGCAAAGACAAACAAAACTTGCATATGGATTTTAATATCCCAAACTATTTTGGAAAAATTTCTTTTTGGTAAACAATTTTTATATTATTCATTGACTTATTTCCCCAAATTTTTATACTATCTTTAAAGAAAATGTCAATAGGGGTTTTATGTATTTAGTGACCTTTAGAGTAAAGCTAGGAAATTAATGATTTAAGGTATCTAAAAATTATGTGGTTCAAGATAGAGCCATAATAATGCCATAGAAACTGTAACTTATATTTGTTAGACTCTTCTTTTACTTCCTGTTTTTAACTTGAGATGATCAGTTACTGTATTACTGCATTAGGATTGCACCTGGATATATGGAATGGAAAATTTACCAAATTAGCTTAACAAAGAAGGATTTATTTTTCTCAACAGGGAGTTCAAAGACAGGCAGCAGGACTCTTTCTGGATTCTTTCTCCCTCTCTCCTTTCCCTCCCTTCTTTCCTCCTTGAAGGCATGGTTTTGTCATCATGGTCCTAAGATGGGCACTTTTTCTTGACATATTGTATCCATGCTTCAGTCAAGAGGTGAGAAAGGATGAAAGTAAAAGGCATATAGTAGCTTTGCCAGTGTTGCTCAATGGTTGAGCATCAACCCATGGACCAGGAGATCACAGTTCGATTCCCCAATGGGGCACATGCCTGGGTTGCAGCCTTGATCTCCAGTAGGGGAAAATTGATGATTTTCTCTCATCATTGATGTTTTTATCTTTCTCTCCCTCTCCCTTACTCTCTCTGAAATCAATTTTTTAAAAAAGGCATATAGTAGTGCACTCTCCTTTTTTATATTAGGAAAACAATACTCTTTCTGTAAGTCCTACCCAAAAGACTTGCATCATTGGCTAGAACTGGGTTTCATGATCACTTCTGGCTATAGGAGAATCTGATGGGTGTTTTTAACTGGGCATCTGTTTGTCATGAACAAAATCAGGGTTCTGTTGGAAGAAAAAGGGTGAGAATGGACATTAGGTAAGAAACTTGTATTTGCTGCAGTTATCATTATAGGCTCCCCTGACAGAGGAAATTCTAAGGCAAAATAATATCCTGTGGAGTGATGCCCAATATTGTTATAATATTGAAATGTCCTTTAAAAGCATTTACTGAAATGATATGCTATTGGGTGCTAGTATCACCAGACATATCACAGATAGTTTCAACTATCAATGCTTATTGAACCATGTGTGTATACCTAATGTTATTCTAAGCATAAAACCTTTGGGGGCAGTGGTAGTAGAGTGGAAAGGCTCTGA